ACATAGTGCCTTGCCAACACATCTGCTCTGGGGAATGTTTTTCATTTTGATCAGAAGCAGCTAACTTGGACATGGTAACATCTACTGACTCTCACACCAGGGAAGGTAAATCAGGACTCAGACTCGTATTTGCATACGAAATGCCAGATTCTTATCTCCGTTTCACAATGTACATTGCCAAGCTCTTCTAAAACTACCTGTTGCCTGTGGTTTTGAGCAGAATGATAGATGTTTTCCAAATCTGAGATCACAGTTTGACCTTTAAGTTTCATGTGTGTTGTGTGCTTTCATTATTCTTTTTTCCTTGTGACGCTCAACAAAGATTTCAGAAAAAAAGAGTTCCTCTCTGAGGAAATGAGGAAATGCCTTGTAAGGACTAGAAAGGGAGACTGGGAACCCTGGATTTTGTCTGATGACTTTCTATGTGATCATAGTTTATCCACCCGAGGAATTGATGTAGCGTTATTCCTGTGGGATTAAGATGAAGCTTTGGGAATGTTAGAAATGTTAGTTTGGGATCTTCAAAAGCATAAAGGAGGTGATGAAAATCAAAGAGGATAGTGATGTTTGAAGTGGGAACACAGAAAAATAAAGTGAGAGGGGAACGCTTTTGGGAGGGTCAGATTACAAAAGTTTGTGCTCAATATCCACCATGACATTTCTGGTTCCTATTCTGTAATTCAGAACAGCCGTTTCTTACAGAAATAGACAATCACTGGATGCCCACCAGGCACCAAGGCTTTGCTGCAGATAATTACGATCTGATGAATGAGCTACATCTCGGGCTGGGCTCAAACAATGGCTTGCCAGGAGCTCTGCCATCCCATGGGGAAGGCACTGATGCTCTCCAGCTCCTCCGCTATCGCTCTGGCAGAGATCCACACATGGTCCCCTCACTGCCCAAGAGCACGTCGCCATCGGTAATTTCTGCAACAGTAGTTGCGTAAGGATGTCGGGTGATCAAAGATCAGTCTAATTGGGTTGGATGGATCAGCAGTTTGTGGTGGCTGAAAAGCCAGATGCCTAAACTGCATCTTGTATTGTGCCCTCTCCAAATGGTTAGATATCCCCTCTGATGGCTGCTGTAGCTGGGTCAGATCCGTTTGAGGTTGATGGTAGCCAGAGGTTGAAACTATTAGATGTCCGTCAGGGGTGTGTGCTCGGGGAGCCTCAGGAAGCAGCGCTTACCCAACCGTGCGGCGCAGTGCGTGGAGCCGCAGAGGGTGCGCCTCGGGATGAACTCAGCCG